CTAATAGTACCAAAGTGCCGTAATGGCCTAATTAAGAAGGACAACTTGATCTTTGGATCAAGTTTGGCATGACATAGTTCTTCCATATAGGGAAGAGACCCAGGTAAAATAAGATAAATAAAAAAAAATATAATTATATAATATAAAATAATATATAAAAAAAATGAAATGGGGCGAATACTAAAAAAAATAATAATATAGGTGAGTTTCGCCTCACGTACGTACGTATATCGCATGCTATTCTAAAAAGAGTATAATATGAAAGGATAATCAAATAAGGAATATGTACAACAATGTGATCGAGATATTTGCAACAAAAAATGATAAATCTTGTGTACTGTAGCATTATGTTGTAACATTATGTTGTAACATTTTTAAAAAATGAATGCACAAAGGTTTACAAAATTTCTTAAAAATAAAAATACAATAAAATAACCATTTTTATCATGATCGCTAAAACAATTATCAATAATACATCTTTATCAGGCAAATATGCGCAAATCATTAATAATTTGTGTATAATAGATTAAAGGAAAATTCGTAAACTTTATATTCCTTAAACAACGAATATTGAGAATTAGATTTAAAAATAATCAGTTGGATTAGATGGCCTACAAGTTTAAATTATGTTTATAAATCTCAATTTCCTGGAAAAGGCAATATATTTTCTGGAATTATCTTGCATCTAGAGAATCTCTCCGTATAAATAATTTATCCTTTTTGAGACCATTTTTATAGAATACGTATTCCACTCATGAAACCTATTATTATTGGAAATAAAATTTGCTCTCCTATCCTGGAACGCGATTGTGAATGTAGTAGGTTCAATGAAGTATTCAAAAATGAGCATTTAATGTAAGTTTACAAAATATTCTAGGTTTATAAGATTAAAAAGCATTAATAATTTGCCGTTAAAGAAATTATTTATAGTAAATGGTCATATAGACGGCCCAGCGTGACAAATAATGTAAATCAATTTAAAATATTATTTATACATAATGTGATACGTAATACATGTGATTTAAAATTTTTTATATTGTAAAAATCGCATCACAACGGGTCGTCTATATGGCCATTTACGATAGTACTTGCAATTACGGAAGTTATTATAATATATAGAATTTTTATATGCAAAAGGTGCTGCGTACAGTACTCGGGACTTTGTTCAAGAACTCCGTTGTAAAATAGAATAGTACCAGGAATCCAGAGAGTTCATTGGTGAAGAACACTTTATGTGGTATATTATTATTATTTAAGATACTGTATGTGGTAATCGTGACACTATTCTGTAGAGTATTTTGTTTAAATTAACTTATTTGTAACCTTATTTTAATTAATTCTAAAAAGTTAAACTCTAGACAATTTTTGAATATAAATTCGATTTTTTAGACATTATTTTTTCCGTAATATATTACATTGTAACACAGTATTAAAATTTAAATTAGGTGATTTAATAATTACTGAACAATAATTTTCGATTTTTATAACTTAAATAGCAAACAATATTTTAAATGTTGACTACAAATTTCAAAGATATATTTTCTCTCTTGAGCATAATTTTTATTTTATCGCAGAATTTTTTCTATGGCCATTCATTTAAACCTGAGCCACGCGGTGGTCACATGGCAACACTTGTCAATGATAAAATTTATTTCTTGGGTGGGTCACTGCCTATACCTAAAGATTCACCCGCATGGAACCTGACCCATCAGTATAACCTATCAGACGAGGTGTTCTATTTAGATCTTTCGACATCATTTACTGTTGATTTACCTCCGTTCACTGATCTTTCTGCTAAATCAAGAATGCCATTCGGCAGTGAAAAGGGAACAACAGTATTAGGGGATAATGGTCAGCGTATATATCTTGTTGGCGGTGTGCAGCAAAATATGACAACATTTAATTACAATGCGTCAGATTCTATACTTTGGCTTTATAGTATAAATTCGCCAAAATGGAGTACTAGTGGAGCAGGAACTCAAGGAACAATACTGCTGTTGAGTTTGAAAACGGCGAGTCTGTCGCTAGAAGACCAGAATTCTCGCGCTACGTCAATTTCAAGGCTTGAATA